ATCTTATTAAAAATTACAATGTATATTTTTTTATGGTTAAAATATTTTTGAAATAGTAGTATTTTTATTTCAGTTAATGATGAACAAAAGTAATAAAATTATGCTAATAATTTAGTACTTTCTGATAATTCCAAAATAATTGAAATTATCGCAAAATTTTCTAATAAAACTGGAGTAACAGTAAAAGAATTCATATTATTCTTAAGCATTTATGTATAATAGACGGAAAAAAAATTCGAAAATAATGAAAATTTTGAACTTGGGGGGTAAATCTAAAATTGCATATTGAGGAGATTCATTTGTAAATGGTGCCCATTTGAAACCGTTCCATCCAGTTGGTGTTGGCTTTCTGTAATATTCCTACGATAATTAATCAAAAGGATGAGATGAAGAAGCAATTTCACTTAGTAATGATGACCAAATGATAGATGTTCTAATGAATAAATAGCAAAAGATTCTACCAAAAAAAAATTTCCTCTTCTTTTCGGTTTAACCAATTAAAAATTTTAATTTGAACAAATTGTTTATCATATTATATGCTTAATATATTATCGTTTAAATTTCATTTAAATTAATTTCTAAAAAAAAGAGACAAACCCATATTTGGCAAAATTTGTAATCATTGTTGAAAGCATCCTAGCCATTTGTTGATCTCTTTTAGTAAACGGTTCAATTAATAAATTATTAGCGTAACCATTTGTGAATATATATGCATGATCCAGGCCATGAAATGCTCTTGGCCGATCATTTCCTGCAAAAATAAAGTATTGGAGTAAAATTAATTTAATAAAATTTTGAGTTATTTGTTCTGTATCATTTGATCGCAAATGAATGAAACAACAATTCAAAAAGTTTTCATATTCTTTTCTGATTAATCTAAATTTCTATACTATCAAAAATTAAATTGTGCATTGGATATTTTGATTTCTGATTTGCTTCATTTATAACTCGAATTCCGGTTTCCTGCTCTAATTTACTTTTTTTCTATGCAATATTTTACAGATGACTTATTTATCAAGTTATTTTCTTGCAATTTATCATAATAATTCTCCACTGATAAAAACCTGCAATACTTATGCTATTTGACAATTTAATTTAACAAATATTAATTGTCCAGCACTAGTAAGTATCAGTCTAAAAATAATAATTCATCAATTTATGATGAATTGTTGATTTATGAATTAAATCCTTTTGTTCTATGAATTTTTACATTTACTATAAGCTATTTTTAAAAAATAAAAATTCGAAACATTCTAATTCATCAACAAATGCAGAAAGTTACATAGCACTAAACTTTTGCAATATCTCAGACTATTCATTTTGCGCATAATAATATAAAAAGTTCAAATTCGTACATGGTTGCTCAATTATTTTTAAACAAATAAGCCTATTTGGAAATATTTTCATTACTATTTCTAAGAATAACATTTTTTTTTAAAAAAAGTAAGTTAAAATAATCCGAAAAATACGTCGTATTTGAAGTTCTTTTCGTTTCACTTTAATTGCTTCTCGTCCAAAAATAGTGTATTTTTTCCGTTCTTCCTCATAGATTGGCGATTTTGGGAAATAACTGAATGAATATGCATAAACAGATATGCCATTCTCCACGTAACCATCAATTTCACGCTGTGCCGGTGCGACAAATTCAATATCCGCTTCTAACTACACGAACGATGCAATATTACGTTTATTTTATAAATTTATATTTATAAAAACATTTATTTTCATATAAAATACCCAAAAAATTAAAAATTAACTCAACATAAATGCTCATAAATGTTTTTAATTTTTGATAAAATTTTGAAATGTTTCAATTTTGTGGGTAAAAAAAGAAGCTTTTATAGTAATGCAAAGAATTAATTTAAAAGTCATACATCTTGCAGTCCATAGACAACACGTGTTAAAGTACGATTATTTTCCGGCGTATCAATGTACCTAAATTACTTATTTCAAATTTGTTAAAAGACAAAAATTTTTATTGAGTTCAAAATTTTGTTTTTTTTTCTTGGATAAGCTTTCTAAGACAGAATTTAATTCTTGAATACGAGCAAAAATCAGGTCAAGCTAAAGAGTAATAATATATATATTACTCGAATAAAAGTTTTAACGCCATGAAAGGCCTTGGAGCTAAATGATAATTTTTTAAATTCATCCTTGGCTAATTGAAGTACAGCTATTATCACTAATCAAAATATAAATAGTTATCAGTGGAATAAACTAAGAAATGGCAATGCCGAGATTATTCGCTATAAACTTGCATTATTATCCAGAAAGTAAGTTATATTGATTAATCGGACAATCGTAAGTACCGGAGATTCAAACAAATTAAATATTACATGCTATGAATACCTCAGAAAACTAGCATTTGCAATAAGTTCCAATGTTGAATTATGAAGTTTTTTTGAACAACCGGTATGATAATGTTCATTGATAATTTTACGAATATTAGTGTTGCAGTCCTCAATTGAAACATTTTTGAATTCATTTAAACCATAATCTTGTGCTGAAAATTAACTTTATTTGAAATATTTTGATGTTGATTTTAATTTAAATTAAGTTTTGTAAAAAAAAATGCAATAACACAAGTTCCTAAGCAATGAAATACAGTATTGAAATTTGAAAAAAAAGCTAATAGTTTTATGAATAATTCATGTTCTTTTTGTCTCTCACATGTCTCATTATTCTACACGTATCCTATGATTTCCACACGTGACCGTATTATTCTATAACACATATCACGTAATTGTATTATTCTGCAACACATATCAAATATTGTCCTAGAATATATATCTCATAATTATATTATTCGAGATGTATTCTATGGATGCGCATAACATTTTTTTTGTAATATTTCATACATATCCTAAAATTTGTGTCTAATTTTTAAAAAAAAATTTTTTTTTTAAAAATGATACCTTTCTTATGAGCCCATTCATGTTGTGCGACACCAATGATGATCGGTATCCGTGCATTCTTGCTAATTAACTCAACACCAGATTGCGGTATCAGTTCATTATCCACTATCATTTTCGATACTCCTAGCTTGATATCATATCAAAGTGCTGTTAGGTTAGAAGAGAGAATTGAAACATAAGTAATTTATGAAATTTTAATAATTTTTCCTGCTACATAATTAGTAAAATACCTCAGTAGCAATTGCATAACGGAATGGAAATGATGAAAGATTGAGTTCATTTCGAAAGCACTCAACCAATTCCATATTATTCATTTCTTCGCTGTTCTAAATTGCATTAATAAATAAAGCAACTTCACGCATTAATTCACAAAATTATGACAAAAAGAAGAAGAGAAAAAAATTTGATGAATATCTCTTGTTTTTTTTTTCATTGGGATAAATTAATTATTATTTGTCGCTTTATATTAACACTTAAAAAACTTTAATAGTTAATTACATAAGTTATCATTAGTTATATAATTTACGTAGCAAATGATATTGATTGTTCATTCTTTCTGGAAAGTTTTAGTTAACAAATTAACTTACAGTTAAACAATAAGGTATCTTTTCTTGTATATTACATTCCTTGCTGGTAATTGGCAATCCAGAAGCTTTAAATAACGATTGTATTGTTTGTTTATCCAGTTCTTTCTCACACTGGATGTATGCCGCAATATTGTTTACACTCCATTCCGGTTGACCAAAGCGATGAATAGCCCAACCGGCTGTTGATGAACCGGACAACATGATCGCTTGATGTAGCAGACCTGAAAATCGATGTTGTGCAATTAATCATTATTTTACAGCAAAATTTAACTTATCAATTATTTATCTCTTAATGATATTATACTGAGCGATAAAAATTTAAGATTAGGAAGCCGTTTGCAAGAAAAAAATTGGATGTTATTAAATTCAGAAAATTTTTTTAATTCTATAAATCAAAAAGCATTTTGCAGTTCAGATGAAAAGTGATTTTGTAAGCTTAAATTTAACAAATGCAGAAGCTATAATAATTTGAAGTTTCTTAGAAGCAATTATATTAAGTCAATTATAATCATAATTTGAAGCTCGTTGTAATAATTACATTATCAAATTGTTATTTTAATTGTATTATCACTGTTAACGCTATCATTGATAATATCGTCAACAGAAGAAAAGTATCAGTTCACCTTTAGTTCTGGGTGATACTGCAAGTACCGAAGCGGCAGCTGCACCAGCACTTTCACCCATAACTGTGACCTTTGATGGGTCACCGTTCAACTGTTTCATATTTGTTTGAATCCATTCCAATGCCATTACCAAATCCCAAATACCGAAATTACCTTCGACATGATCGTTGTTCTTATAATTCATAAATCCTATAGCGGAAAACAAAATTATAGCTATAAAGACTCATCCAATAAACAATTACTTTCTTGATATATCACAATTTTATTAATTAAATCATTGCTTTTATCTTTTACTGATTAATCAATGAAATTTTCTTTGCAACTTTTAGTAAATAAGCATACCCAAAAGCCCAAGGCGATAGTTAAGCGTTACCAATGCAACACCGTTGGATGTAAAATGTTTCGTTATCACTTCCATATCAATGCCAGTATCACCTGAACCGGCTAAAAACGATCCACCGTGAATCCATACAATGACCGGATGTAACTTTGATTCTTCTTCAGGATCCTACAAATAACACAAATTTGTTTTACTTTTTCACTAGAAACAGTTGAGAATTTATAGAAGAAAATAGTATTAATTAATACAATGAAGACAAAATTTAAATAATTAAGTTTTCAAGTTTCATTATTTCATCAAATTATTCTTTCAAAGAACTCACAATGAGCAGAACAGTTTTAATGGACGAGAAATGAAATTAAAAGATTTTTCGGTAGCATTATTTTATGAGTATTTCAATTTCATAAATATCTTACATATGGTGTGAAGACATTAAGAAATAGACAATCTTCACTTTCATTTTGCATATTTGAACCGGAAAATTTGTCTTGTTTATGAAATTCCATAAATTGCAAACATGGCGCACCGTAATCGAGTGCTGCGTATTCTTGATGCCAACGTGCTCGTTTTACCGGACGCTGCAAAATGAATTATTATTTTAGTTTATAACAAAAACGAACAAATAAAAATCTAATTTTGAAATTTTGTTCTTTTTTCAATAATGAAAATACTTTGATTGACATGTTTTCAAGTATTTTACAAAAAAGCATATAACAATTGCCTTCTCACAATAATTAATACAATGGTAAATTTTAGTGAAAAGCAAATTTCAATTGCTAAAGCTAACCATTCAGTAATAGCAGCTAAGTGCGACAATTTATCTCCTATCTTATCTTTCGAGATGGATTAGAAAAATCTTCAATGATTAATCATTTTCAGAATTGCCAGGCATAACATATCAGTTTAATGTGCTTTTTTTCTTTTTTTTCAATATGAGACTTTTAAAAATAAACAGATTACTCAAATTGAGTGTTTTACTTACCTAAATTTGTATCACAAAAGTAATTCACTGCTCAGAAAAAAAGAAAAAAACATTAGCAAATTTTGCTTGCTTAAATTAATTATTTTGCTGCATTTCTACCAAGTAATTTTTTGCTTTATTCAGAGAAAAATGTATTCAACATAAAATGAATTTTAAAAAATATTTTAGAACAAATAAATTTACTACACATAAAATTATACTTAAATACTGGAATTAAAATTGAGATTTGAATTTGATTCTACAAAATTAACTCAAGAGAATAATTTTAAGAGAAGAGTTGAAGAAAGGAAAAAAAAAGAAAAACCTGAAAAAAAAAGAAAATTTTGAAATTCCACACTAATTTTTTATTTCACAGAAATGAGTCATAATTTTATCACGTGAAATAAATTGGCTAGCTGAATTCTCAAAAATTTTAAGAAATTAATAACAGCTATTTCATGACTTAATATTTACCGTTGAATATCTTAGTTATTCAAATATTTGCATGCAAAACTGTTGAAAAATTATTACTTTTATTTAAAGATGATAAAATGATAATAAATTTTATCCAAAAAATAGTTGGATTAAATGTTACAAAAATGCATATCAGCTTGATATCAATGTTGCAATTATATTTCAATCAAACGATCGGAAGAATGATAACTTTCAAAAATTTCCTTTTACTTATGATAGTTTGATTTATTAAAATTTTAACATTTTGATGTTATTGCTTATCAGAATGATAATTTTGATTGTTCTCAAAATCTAAAAAAATTAGCAAAGAAAGATGAAAATGAAGGATGATGCAATCAATTGTTGAATGATAGAAATGATTCGATGCTAGCTGGACAGAAAAGCTGATAGGAGAGGAAAGATTTTTAAAAAACTATTTTGATTTTATAATTTGTTTCAACTAGTATTTTTGCATATTATATAGAAGAAAATACAAATGTAACCTTAAACCGCAAATGACCAACAGGTGCTTCAGCATATGGTATACCGCGAAATATTTGAACATAATTATCGGCTAACTTGTAAATTTTACCAAGTAACAAGCCTTGTTCCACCCATACTGATCTTGACTTCTCCAAATTTTGTCCCTTAATTCCAGGTGCCAATATCGTAAAAAATGAAATGAATAACAAATATACACAAATGTATAAATGTTGAATATGCAATAATGGTAAGAAAAACATTTGAAAAATGTTTGTAGAAATACAAATAATTTTGCAAATTAATTGAAAACAATTCAGTGTTCGTTTTAGAATAATTCAAAATTCAGTGCTATCATTTGAATGCAATTTGATAATTTATGAAGGATTAATATAAAAAACAGAAAATTGGAATATAATATATAAATCAGAATAATAGAAGTATTCAGTGATAATATGATAATTGGCTGATAATATTAGGTAATAGTAGTAGTAATAGTAATAGTAGTTGTTGTTGTGATCAATGTGCTGATAGTAATAGTAATAGTATTGGTGATAATTGTAGGAAAAGTTACGAACAAATGTTGCCTTCTTGTTTCATTAATAGCATTATAACTTCTAATTAGAAAAATATATTTTCAACAACTGTTAATTTAATTAATTATTTCGTCACATTCATTTATTCAAAATATCACATCAGATTGAGAAACTGTACATTTTTATCGTTGAATTAAATGTGTATGAAAATGATAGGGAGGGGTGGAAGAAGTGATGAAGGAATGATTAAATAGTTTAGGGATGATTGCATTGAAAGAGAATTTCATTTGAGGTATGAGAGAGGATAAGAGTGGAGAGCAAAAGGGCAGGGGCTAGATAAGAGGGATTAAATAGCAGTTGTTCCTTTTTGCTTTAGCAATTTTAAAATTTTACATCATTTCCGAAACACCCTTCTTCTACACACACACACACACACACACACAAATACACACATATATACAACATAAACACACACACATGCGCACACACACACACACACACACACACACACACACAC